AGGAGGGCGACGACGACGACAACGACGACGACGACGACGACGACGACGCCGCAAGAGCGCGCGTGCACGCTTTTGTTGAAAATCCGTGTTGCGAAACCTTGTGTTATTGTAGGTTTTTGTGGACGCGCGATTTTGAAATCCTTCCGAAACCGACGGGTTTTGAAGGATTTCGGCGTACGCGCGCGACGACGCGTGCGTCTGCACTTCGTCCTGTTTTTTGCAGAGGATTCTCGCGACGGCACACGCGCAAGGGCGTTCGACAGATTTCGACATGCGCGCGCGCGACGCCCGTTTGGTAGCATGTTGTGAAAATCTTGAAAAACCAATGGTTTTCTTAAGATTTCGCAAGAGCTCGCGCGTAAGCTTTTTTAGCAAATCAATGTTACGACACCTGGTGTTTTTGTATGTTTTTTTGGAAACTCGATTGCGAAATCCTTCCGGCACCGAAGGTTTTTGAAGGATTTCGGCATGCGCGCGCGACGACGCGCGCGTGTGCACTTCGTCCCATTTTTTTTTGCAAGGGATTCGTGAACAAGTGTTATGTTAGAACAAAAAATGTCACCGCATAGTGTTCTTTTACAAGGGAACCTCAGGGGGGGGATACCGGCTGGCCTGGGACATTGATTTCATATTTAGGATGGACATGTGGTCATAATCATATGTGATTCACATACCCGAAAGGGGTAGCGATAACGCCGGGGGGGGGGTAGAGTCTATTTTTTTTAGAAAAGAGAATCCACCGGCCCTGTCGGCGTGTGTGAGACGTTTCTCCGTTTGAGTCGCCGTCGCCGTCGCCGCTCCCCTCCTTTCCCTTGGCCCTCCTCCTCAAGCGATTCAGCTAGACGGAAATCAAAAAAGTTGATTCGAAGGGGGAGTCCCTTTCCTTTGATCCCTTCCCTTGCGGGGGAGGAAGCGGGGGGTGTCCCGGTGTCCCAGGGGGGTGGCAGAGGCGGTCCCGGGGTCCCGGGGGTCGTGATCTCTCCCCTGGGGGTCCCCGCTGTGGACAGGTGATCCCGCTTGTGGACAAGGGGAACTCAGGATCCCTCCCCCCGCCTCCCCCGTGGACAGGGGGACCACCATCCCCTCCCTCCTCCTCGCCCCCCCCCCCCCCCCCCAGGAGCACCCTCCTCACTCTTATCTGCTGTTGTGGTGTGCTGCGTGTTTTCCTACATGCCTCCAAGAAGCCTCAGATCTGCTCCGAGGCGGCTCCAAGTGGCCACGGAGCTTTCCGAGAAGTCCCCCACGAGGCCCCCCAACCGATCCCAATAGGCTCCCACGAGAGCCCCAAAAAGGGCTCCAGAGCGTCAGCGTCGTCGTCGTCCGCCGCCGCCGACGCCGTCGTCGTCCCCCTTCACAGGGTCGGCGGCTCTGGTCTTAAGGCCTTCCCAATACATGTGGTGCAATCAATGTGGCGGTGAGCTACGTGATGCGAGCTATGGCGCAATCCGTGTGGTCTTGGCTATGTTGTGCAATCTGTGCAGCCTAGGTTGTGCAATATATGTGGTGTAAGCTGTGGTGCAATCTATGTGGTGCAATGCCTGTGGTGTACACTATGTGATGCACTCCAGGTGGTGCAATCTATGTCAAACAATCTATGTGATACAAGCTACATGGTGAAACCTATGTGGTGCAATCTATGCTGTGCAATGCAAAACAATGCAACGCAATTCGATGCGATTGCAGTGCAATCCGATTGCAATGCAACGCGATTGCGCTGCAACGGGGGAGGGGTGTAACGGGGCGGCGGCGACGGGCGGCGACGAGGCGGCGACGGGGCGGCCGGACCGATGACCAGGCCCAGGCGGTGGGCGGCGACGGAGGCGGCGACGGGGCGGCCAGACCGACAAGCAAGCCCAAGAGACGGGCGGTGGCGAGGCGGCGATGGGCAGCTGCATGCCGGCCAGACCGACAAGCAGGGCCAGTTCCTTAGAGCACATAGAGCAACCCCCAAGTGCAAATACGGTTTGGTAAATATTGTGCGGCCTCCACATGTTGATTCTTACTGTGGCGGGTTACAAATATATTCCTTGCGTGCGCGGATTGCAGATTCACTCTTATGTGGCAGAGGACGGACGGGAGGGTGGGAGAAGTCCCAAACCAAAGAGACCGCCCTGTTTTTATCCACGGTCTAGTTGTGTCCTTTACGAGAAGGGTGCGTGTGTGTGTGTGTTTGTGTGTGTGTGTGTGTGCGTGCAAGGTTTTTGCTTACACACATATGTCTACGTGTACACTAAAGGTGTATATATACATATAACTTTTATAGGCTGCCCAAAAAGAAGTTGACCTACTATTCCAATTTTCCCCAACCCTACTGTGATGTTGGGTCCTCATCTTGGATCAGTAGCGCCCCGCGTCCTCCTCCCTCCCGCTACCTCCTTCCTCTTCCCTCCTCCTCCTTGCCTCTGCCGTCCGCATGTCTTCTATATCGTCGTCGTCATCACTATCATCATCACCACCACCATCATCATCAGCATCAGCATCAACATCAACATCATCCTCATCATCCTCATAAACTTCATCATCGTCAGCATCAGCATCATCAGCATCATCATCATCACCAGCATCGTCGTCGTCGTCATCGTCATCGCCACCATCATCATCAGCATCATCATCCTCCTCCTCCTCCTCCTCATCATCATCATCAACGTCATCATCGTCAACATCAGCATCATCAGCACCATCATTATCATTATCAGCATCGTCGTCATCGTCATCATCACCACCATCACCATCACCATCATCATTAGCACCATCAGCATCACCATCACAATCATCATAGTCGTCGTCCTACGACTCATCACTTTCAACGTCCTCCTCCTCCTCCTCACCACCACCACCGCCACCACCATCATCACCATCATCATCATCATCATCATCATCATCACCACCACCACCACCACCATCATCATCATCATCATCACCATCATTATCAACACCATGATCAGGATCATCATCATCGTCCTCATCAGCATCGGCATCATCGCCAGCATAAGCACTAGCATCATCATAACCATTACCATCACCATCACCATCATCATCACCATCATCATCATCATCATCATCATCATCATGACCATGACCATCATCATCACCATCATCATCATCATCATCATCATCCTCACCCTCACCCTCACCCTCGTCATGATGATGACCATCACCATCAACATCACCATTCATCAATCACCTGTCGGTATGCCTCTCACCCGCTTCGTGGCCCCATGGGGAGCCCCACCTACGGTCCCAGGGGGGGCGACCGCATGGGGCTTCTCGTTTATTTCGGCACACCCCTCACTTCTTTCGTGGCCCCATAGGGACCCCCACCTACGGTCTCAGTGGGCGCGACCACATGGGGGGTCCACACTGAAGGCCCCAATGGCAGGTTTCGTATGGCGCACCCGCCCCCAATTCGGCTTCACACGCTTCGTAGCCCCGCAGAGAGTTCCACCTACGGCCCCGCTGGCCACGCTCCCATGGCGCACCCGCCGGTAATTCGGCACACCCTCCGCATGCTTCTTGGCACTATAGGTAGCTCCACCTACTGCCCCAATGGCAAGGCTCGCATGTCGCCTGGCGTACCCGCCCCTAATTCGGCGTACCCCTTGCACGCTTCATGGGCTCATAGGGAGCTCCGCCTGCAGCCTCTTTAGCAGGCTCCGCGTGGCGTGCCCGCCCCTTACTCGGCATATCTCTCCCACGCTTCGTGGCTCCAGGGGGAGCTCCACCGAAGGTCCGTTGCAGTGTTCGCATGGCGTGCGCGCCCCGATGCGTCCCCCCCCCCCCCCTCCTCCTTCTCCTCCTCCTCTTCCTCCTCCTCCTCCTCCTCCTCTTCCTCCTCCTCCTCCTCCTCCTCCTCGTCCTCCTCCTCCTCCTCCTCCTCCTCCTCCTCCTCCTCCTCCTCCTCCTCCTCCTCCTCCCCCCCCGTACAAGTTTCGTGGCCCCATGAGAAGCGTCACCGAAGGCCTCGGTGGTGGTGTTCGCATGGCGTCGTCTCGCCAGGACGTGCGCGCCAATCGATCATGTTGCGTGCCCCCTCCTCTCTGCTACTTGCCTCGCGGTGCTCGCAACCGCATGTGGTTGGGTCCTTCGCCGAGGCACTTTGTTGTTTCCCGAGGCCCGACCCCCATGGCCAGACCCTCCCTTCTTCTGCCACGTGGTGAACCAATGTGCACCCTACAGAAGAAATGCATTTCTAACCCGCCACATCATGAATCAACATGTGAATCTCCCGCGGCATGGACCCTGTGTGCACCCCCACGCGCAAGCGCACATTCGGAAACACGTACACGTAACGAACGAGACAGAGGTACAGACAAAGAGGGACAGCGAGCGAGAGAGAGAGAGAGAGAGAGAGACAGAGAGCGCGCGGGAGAGAGAGAGAGAGAGACAGATATACATATACATCTAACAATGTTTATATACGGTGAGGGGGAGGGAGAGAGAGAGAGAGAGACCAGAGAGGATAACATGAGAGAACGAGGGAGAGAGAAGAGATAGAGGCATACACCTACACACAGTCATATATACATAGAGAGAGAGAGAGAGAGAGAGCGAGAGAGAGAGAGAGGGAGAACGAGAGAGAGAGAGAGAGAGAGAGAGCGAGAGACACACAGAGATAGAGAGAGAGAGAGAGAGAGCGCGAGATGGAGATATCCACCAGATAACGAACGAGAGAGAGAGAGAGAGGTATGGATGATGAGAGAATGGAAGAGCAATGTAGTTTTGAACGGGCCAGTTAAGCCCATTGCATTTTGCAGAGGGCGTCCTTTCACCCCGAAGCCTGGCAAACACATTCGCAAAGGTAACGACTGTGCCAACGTTTTGTACAAATGCTTTCGTTGAACGTGTGGAACGGGTGCGCATCTCCTACTCACCCCCGCCTCTTCACTGGATGCAAATCGAACTACTAGTTGTACGTGTGCAGCGAGTCTGCATGTGCACACATGTGTGTGCGCATGCTCATCGGTATGCCCTGAGCTGCCCCGATTGCCCCCCAGCGGCGCCTCCGCGCCGACCTTGCAGTAGAACGATGCCCCGCGCCCCCACCAGATCTTGCCAGAGGCCTTGCCATGTTCACCAGCCAGCGGCCACGGGGAGTAGAAACGACAGCGAAAGCAATGGAAGTGCGTCGTTGCAACAAGTAGTGGCGCCGTCGAACTGACTACCCGACATATGAGGAGCGCAACATTACCATTCGGATTACTTCTCTGCAGATTCGAGCATGGGCGCACTCACCATTCGGCACCTTGGCAGTGCAACCCTGACCCGCCTCATCCTCATAATCATTTTCCTCGTCCGCGCTCCCCCTTCCTCTTTCGTTCCCCTACCGTAACAACATCTGTAACCGAAAAGCCAACGATACGATACTGCAGCATCAGTGCCACTTGATGAGTCGAATAACGAAGCAAGGAGATGACAACGACCTGTCGCGGGGAGACGTGGCAAGTCTGGCTCATTGCACGGGTCTCATCCCACGCCGTCTTGCCGTGCAAGCGTGTCCCTCGCGAAAACTGCTTCGCCTCCAACCAGTGCCTGCACCAGAACGTGGACATGGGCTTGTGAACGAGTGGCGGAGTCGTCCCCAAGGCAGCCTCACGACAGCCCAAGGAGGCTCCTGGACGGCCCAGGACGGCCTCCAGAGAGCCCGAAGCTGGCCTTAAGAGGGCCTCCGAGGGGGCACGGGACCACGCTGGAGGGCCTCTCGACGGCCCCCGGACAGCCCCACGACGGGGGTCCCCCAGACGGCCGCGAGGGCCCCCGACGGCCAAGAGAGCCCCGAGACCGCCAAAAGTGGCCCAGGGGAGCCCCAGGACTGCTCGCCCCAGGGGGTCCTCCTCCTCCTCCTCCTCCTCCTCCTCCTCCTCCTCAACTCAACTCAAGAACGGACGGACGAGAAGGGAGGAAGGCGCCGACGAAGGACGACAACACCGACGCGACGCGGAAGAGCGCGTCACGTGTTATGACTCTCTCGAGCCTGGGGCCACGCGGCGTCACACGTGATGGCCCCTCATGCCCCCTCGATCAATCGCCACCCAAGCTGCTGGATATTGCGCATCGGAATGCCGTAACCTCCTGTTTGGGGTGCACGCTGGCAAATCTTTCGCTGTAATGCATCCACCTCCGTGCAGAGACGCTTTGATCACTGCGTAAACACTGCCAGCTTCTCTCAAGGCCTTGTGCTCTTGAGGGAAGTCACACCACTGCCAAATGAACACGATGACGAGGAGGAGGGTGGGAAGAAGGGAGAGGATGGTCCCGCGATCCCGCGAGATGCCCCGCAACCGCTCCACTGCTGGGAGGGCGGGGAGAAGCCGGGCGCTGGCTCCCAGATTTGCCTCCCGTGCTGACCGCTGTGCCCCTGCTGGTGAGGAGACTGCGGCGAGCACCTCAACGGCTGGTGGATGGCTCAGATGGAGTGGACCTGCCCCTCCGGGTCCCCCTCCGCGGCCGCGACGGCCGTCTCCCGCTGGTGGGGCTCCACGGCTCCGCGGTCGCCGACGTCGAGGACCCTGTGGTTGGTGTCCCAGTCTCCTGTCCGGGTCTCGAGCAGCGACATGCGCTGGACCTGGCGGGCAGAGCCGCGGCGCAGGCTGCGTCGGCTTCTGGGGGTCCCGTGGGGCTTTCGCGTGCCTGCGCTTGCCCCCCCCCTTCCCTTAAGTCGGGCCTGTCCCCCGACAGGGGGATTTTCGACGAAAAATAAAAAATAAACCCAAAGTGCCCCAAAATGATGAAAACATACAAAAACAGAGTCCCCAGACTATTTTTGGATTATTTTTTGGGTATTTTTTGATTTTTCGTCGAAAATCCCCCTGTGGGGGGACAGGCCCGACTTAATCCTTCCCCGCGCCTCTTCCCCCGCGCGCGGAGCTCAGGGCCGCGCGCACGGGGACCGTGTGACGTACCGGGACGTGGGCGCACCGGGGGAAACTGCCACCGCGGGTGGAGAGGCGCCCTCCGCTGGCTCACTGCCTCCGCGGGTCGAGACATCCTCCGCGGGTCGAGGCATCCTCCGCGGGTTCGCTGCCTCTCGCTGGCGTCGGAAACACCGACAAGGTCGCGGGGAGGGGGGCCGGCCCCGACCCAAGAGATCCGTGCGGACATCCGATGCAGTCATGGTGCTACCGTGAGGAAGCCGCATAAGGAGCGAACTGCTTGGGGAGCGGTCCGAAGACCAGCGCCCCTCCAGACTTTCACAAGTGGTCCTTGCCTCGGCGTCTTGACTGTGTGGGGAACTCTTTGTGCCTTCTCGAAGACCGCGCCCTCGCGGGACGTCAGCTTCGTGACCGCCCAGACCTTGCTCGGGTTGCTCTCGCGGATCTCCCTCACCGTGAGCTCCTTCCGGGCGCGGCCTCACTGACCCGAGCCCCCTTCCGTGACGAGCCCCTCGCCCTCGGGGCTGCCCATCCGGTCGCCTGCCCACCTCTGGGAGCGAGGTAGGGGTGCCGTGGCGAAAGGGGTCGGCCCAGGCTGGGGTCGGTCAGGCCGCCCCTGGTCCTTCAGCTGGTCCACGCGCACCGACACCCACCAGTTCCCGGCCGCCTCGGACAGTGGCCACAGGGCGCGGGCCTGGCGGAACACGTCCGCGAGCAGCAGGAGGGCCCCATGGGGGTCCTGCGGCGGGAGGAGGAAGAGAAGGAGGAGGAGGAGGCGGAGGAGGAGGAAGAGGAGGAGGAGGAGGAGGAGGAGGAGGAGGAGGAGGAGAGGAGGAGGAGTCCACGTACCCTTAGGAGGAGGAGGAGGAGGAGGAGAGGAGGAGGGAGGAGGAGAGGAGGAGGAGGAGGAGGAGGAGGAGGATCGAACATCTAAGTATTAGGCAATTTTGTATTGGTGTTTGTTGCCTCCTGGATCCTCTGGGGATTTCCGGGGGCCCCCCGGGGGTCCTGCTTCCCCGCCTTCTGCATCAGTGCGGGCGCGTAGTAGACCAGGATAGCGGGGCCCCGGAACTCCGACCTCTCGCGGGACCAGCTCTGCTTCCAAATGTCCACCATGGACATCTCAGTGCTGAGTACTTCCATGTCCTCTTCGGGCAATGCGTCGAAGGCTCGGACGATGGCCTCGCTATCGCCCTGCGCCATGACAACCAAACGCATCTTGGCGATCGACCCCTTGCCCATGGGCGCGGGGCCGAGTGCTGGCTTATGGCTGTCCCACCGCCACTGGAGATAATCCTCGTACACTTTCGCCTCGGTGGCGCCTGGAGCGCTTATGCTCTGCACGATGGAGAACGACAGCAAGAACTGGTTCAGGACATGCTTGGGGAATCTGAGCACGAACTTCTCGCAACCCTCTGTCGGGAACGGCTCGGCGCCGGCCAGATCGGTGAACCAGTGCGTAAAATAAAAGGCAAGGTCCTGCGGAGATGCCTGGCCGGACTCGATAACGCGCTTGAACTTTCTGAACAGGGCTCCCGGGGGTGCCTCTGCCTGCACAAGCCAGCCCATGTTGTACTCCATCTTGCTCTGAGTGAACTTGATGCTCTCCTGCTGCTCTCGGGAGAGGGCCGCGTACGACGGGAGCACGCTCGGATAGTGCTCGAGAATGTATGCAAGCGCAGCGTCGTGGTCGTTGATCATCTCGCCGACCTTGTACCCGCGGAAGGTGCCGTGCTTCTTACTAACAGTGGGCAATAATTGGACGGTCTTCATGATGTCGTGGATGGCGGTGAGAACCAGCATGGCCAGCGTCCGCTCCACGTCATGCTTACGCAACACGTACGCCCTCTTGGACGCGAGCTCGAGGAAGCTCCGCTTGCGCGCTGGCTGCAACTCTGGCGGCGTGGCTTCCTCCAAGAACCCAGCGTTGACCAACAACAATTCCAGCGATGCCCACTCGGCGTCCCGGTGGAACGCGCTCCGTCGCTCCCACTCCGCCATTGCCTCGGAGCTGTTGTCGTACGGCTTCTGGCGCGGCTTCCAGTTCTCGTCAAGCCCGAAGCAGAACGAGTGAGCGCCGTCGAGGTGCAGCCGCATCATCCAAAAGAAGCAGAACATGGCGCCCAACGTGCGCTGGTACTCGTCCTCGCCGGCGCGTCCGCTGGTCATGTCACCGCATAGGTAGAGCCTCAGCTCCGGGAAAGCCGCGGTGATGTCCTCGTAGAAGTCTCTGCAGCTGTATCTGGGGTCACAGATACGAGATGCCGCGCGCCTGGCCCTCTTCATGTCCATCTTCCTGCCCTTCATGAGGCGCTCGAGCAACGTGTCGCCGCGCGCGCGCGAGCGCGGCGACATCGGCCCACAACCGACCTTCGGCTCTGGGGCGGCCTCGAAGTCGGGGACCAGGTGGCGCCTCCTCTGCAGCCGCGCCTCGACGTAGGTCTTTGCCGCGGGCGCCGCCTTGCCCGGCGCGGGCTCGAGGGGACTGCTCACGAGGTCCCTGCTGCTCTGCCACTGCCAGTGGGTGATGACGAGGTCGTCCTGGCCGGGCCCCCTCGCGGGCTCCCACCTCCGGGGGCGCTCCGGAGCGGGCCTCGCCCTCGAGGGAGCGAGGGGTTGGCATCTCCTCCTCGGCGGGACTCGGCGGAATGCTGGCGGAACCCAGCGGGCACGAGACATACGCTAGTCTCAGGTCGGGCATGTCCTCCTACAGGCGGATTTTCGAGGAAAAATAGAACATGGTCCAAAAAGAATCGAACATCATCAAAAATACAGAAAAATCGTCCCCAGACTATCTTTTGATTATTTTTTCATTTTCCTCCTGTAGAGGGACATGCCCGACTGAAAGCTAGTCTGCCAGTGAATGGCGGGCGGTGGCTGGCGGAAGCAAAACTCGGCCCTCCAAGAGATGCAAGCTTCGTTGGTCTCGTGGTTTCCGGAGTCGCCCACCTGGAGAACGCGAAGTTCTGCCCGTCTGGCAGCCCGATTCGGTGCAAGGTGGACGCATCGACCTCGTTCATGACGACGCGGGCAGTGACCTCGTTGATCTTGTAGCAGGTCTTGAGACCGGGAAAGCTGGACGAGTACGACCACTGTTCGCTCTCCCTATAGGAGCCCTCGTCGACAGCGATGCAGCTCAGCTGGGTGTCCCTCGTCATGCCAAGGCGCGTGTGGAGGACTGTCTCCACCGCCTGCTTCCAGTCCCCTTCCAGTGGCATCTTCATCGTGAGGGGTCGCCCCTTGTCGTTTGTGTCACTTTTGCCCCTCTGGATTTTGGAGCCCAGGAGCAGGACGTGGTCCACTGCGAGGATGTCGGCGTGCATCCAAAGCTTGATGACCCTCACCTTGCGCACGAGCTCACGGTCAACGACCGTCAACGTCGACTGGCAGCTCTCGTAGACCTCGTCGTAGAGGTCCGCGAACGCACCGGCGGGGAACTCCGAACTGTTGACGCCGTTCGCCTTCAGCAGATCGATCAGCATGTCCTCCCTGCTGTTGGCCACGGGGGCCCAGTTCCAGAAGCGGGTGCCCTTCTGCGTGGTGAAGTCCAGGCCGAGAGGCAGGCCGAGCGTGGCCAGCTCGGGCACCCTCTTGTCCTTCACTGTCACGGTGACGCTGTGAACCTTGTATTAGGGCGGGTATATCCCCAGTACAGGCGGATTTTGGACGAAAAATGAAATATACCCCAAGAATATTCCAAAATGGTCAAAAACTGATCAACGAATCGTCCCCCGACTATGGTTTTGGGATTCTGGAATATTCCTCCTGCAGAGGGACGTGCCCGACTTAAACCTTGTAGACGGTCATGACGTCTGGAACGGTCTTGGAGGCACGCCGCTCTTCTGCCAGCTCGTGGGCGCTCCACTCGAAGGACAGGCACTTCCTCTGGTCGGCCCTGCTGAGGCCGAACTTCTGCTCCAGGCACTTGACCACGGCGTCCTTCCAGTGCTGGCCGTCGCAGGCCTTCATGACCACGGCGAGCTTCTGGTTCCGCCTGCGGACCCGGCCATCCGCCGTGGCTTGTGCGGAGATCCTGAGCTCGCGCAGGCGGTTGTCGTCGCTCCGCATAAGGAGCTGAATGCGGACAATCTCGACGAACCTCTCCAGGCGGTCGCCCGTCAGAATGAGACTGGACTCCTGGTCGACCATGACCTCGTCGTAGAACTCCTGCAGCGTCTTCGCGTCACCGCGACCAAACTCCGCGACGTCCACGTCGTAAGCCTGGAGGTGCTTCGCGAACTCTGGGAAGGACATCTGCTTCCCGTCGCCCGCCGGCTCCGCCTGCTCGTGGCCCGCCGAGCGCACGAAGCTGGGGCCTACTCTGGCCTGCTTCGCCGAGGGCACGAAGCCCTCGCCCACGAGCTCCGTCAGCGTCCCGCTGGCTGCCTGCTCGGTGGCCTCCGCCTCCGCCGCAGCACCGCCGTCGAGCAGGTAGGAGCTGCCCTGGCGCGACAGCAGCACGGGCGCGGCGCCGAGCAGCCGCAGCCTGCCCCTCACCTCGCTGGAGAAGTGCACCGCCCCGTCCTGGTCGGCGGAGAGCACCAGGTGCCTGCACACCACCGCCGCCTCTCCGGTGTAGGTGCTGCGGCCGGTGCCAGGCAGCGCGAAGGACGCCAGCCTGCCGGTGTGCACGCCCACGCGGAGGGGAATGGGCGGCAGCTGCGCCCGCGCCCACCGGCACAGGAGCTCCCCGAGCCGCAGCGCCACGTCCTCCGCGCTCATGCCGTCCTCCGCCCGCGGCCTGACCTGGACCAGGCACGACGCGGCGCTGTCCTCGAGTACCTCCGCCCCGGCCAGCTCCACGCACTGTGCCATCTCCGAGTGGACGGCCACGAGCTGCGACGCCTTGCCCGCCTGCGTCGGGCCGCCGACCATCCAGAACAGGCAGCACGCGGAGTCCGAGGGCCCGTCTGCCGGGGTGCCCGACGACCTCACTGCCGCCGACGTGTCGTCCACCGCCTTGGGAGGAGGAGGAGGAGGAGGATGGGGAGGAGGAGGAGGAGGGGGAGGAGGAGAAGGAGGAGGAGGAGGAGGAGGAGGAGGAGTGGGGGGAGGGGAGGGAGAGGGGAGGAGGAGGAGGAGGAGAGAGGAGAGGAGCGGAGGAGGAGGAGGAGGAGCCTTGTCCTCTGCACTCAAGTTGGGGCTCGGGGCGGGCGCCCTGGCCAGCGCGGTGGCCTCCTTCTTGGCCCTGTCGCGGTCCCGCGTGCCGAGCAGCAGGGGAGCCATCCTCGAGCCGCGGGGAGCGCGCTTGGCTCTCCGCGGCTGGGGCTTGGGAGCGGCGCGGGGAGCCGGACTGCGGAGATGCTTCAGCCAAAGGGGCTGCAGCAATTTTACGATGTTCCAGCCTGCTTTAGCCTGGATCGCCAGAAACTGATGAACCAACAACACACACCCATACCCATAGGGGGGTCGGAAAGGGCTATGGGTGCGCGTTGTCGGATGGGGGTCCCCGCTCGAACGGGAGCGTTCCCTAGGGTCCGACAACCCAAACCCATACCCATAGCCAGTCCTCCTCCCAGCGACCCCCTTATGGGTATGGGTGTGTGTGTGTGTGTGTGTTGTCCTTTCGTCAAACACAATTTTTCCTGCGCCAAGAGAATACCGAGACGGGAGGCTTTTCACGTGTCGGGCCCTGGGGGCCGATGCTCGTTCGACGCTGTTTCGGAACTTTTGTATGGGTGCTCGAAGCTCTTTTTGGGATTGGGTCTTCAACTACGATGGGAGTCACATGACAGTAAGTGCCGTTCACACGCGCATGACTCGATCTGCACAGCAATGCATGATGCAGGAGCGGTCCTGGCGAGGCACGTGGCGACCAAGCGGCCACACCGAAACTGACGGAGGGCAGAACTGGACCCTTCCAAAAAGTGTGCAGGGTGTAGCACGTTAGGAAATGCATTGCCCAAGCTGTTCTAGCACGCTCGGCCGTGCATTCTGGCTCCAGGCAAGACTCCCTTGCAGCTGCGGACCTGCCTGTTCGAGGACGGGGTGAAGAGCGCGTTTCATCGCGTCGGTCTGAATCATGCAATCTTTCGGTTCCTTGTGTTTGAAGAGGAAGGGGGGAACTGCATGTTGCGAATTGGCCCAAATAGACGCATCCACGCCGTGGTGAACATGTGCCATCACAATTGTTAGGCGTCTGTGAATCATCCCAATCCAGCCAGTGGCAACATCAGGAGGAGCAGCAGCAACAGGCGGAAACGAACATAAGCACACGCTCTGACATCAGTCGTGGTCAACATGATACGACCTTTGCCCACATGCATTATCTGCCGGTATCGAAAGCAAGGGTGAGAGGCGAAGCGGCCCAAACCACGACGCATCGTTAAGCAAGCGGAACACGCAACTGGTACAATCGTTGCGCTATCGCAACGCCCAGGGAGGAGACGCAGGAGAACACGAGAACAACACCCAACCCAAACTGCTCACGCCATTCGCAACACCGTCGAAATCGCCCCACCCTAAACGCCTCCAACTTAATTGAACCATAACTTGTCCAAATCCTTACCGCCCCCATGAATGTACGTATGACTTGGCAAACGGAACCTGGGACATCCTGGCTGGCCATACTTCCTGCCAAGAGCAGCCCGTCAATTTGTGCAGAGCGGCAGCGGTAGCGGCAAGCACAGACCTCGTCGGGAACCACGGTGAACGTCTTAGAGCAGCCGTCTGCTCCCCAACGCGTGCATGTCCAATACTTGCCCGTGTCCGCCACATCAAGAAGGTACGTCTCGCCCTTGTCGCCTCCCAGCGTGCTGGGGCGTCCAAGTTGGGAGCGAGTGCCCAGACGAGCCGCTTTCCCCAACTGTCCAGGGGGGCTTCTGTGTCAATGACTGCGTAGTCGTATCATTAAAACCACCCGCCACCGTGCCGTAGACACTGTCTGGAGTGTCCTCGGGTACCTTCGAGTTCTATGCCTTGCGTATCGCACGTGCTTCTTGAAAAAAGGGGCCAACGCCAAACTTTCCGAGGGCTCCTGGGCGCTCACAGAGCGGCCTGTGTGACTCATTCCGGGGCCTCGGGAGCATGGTCGGGATTCCATGCTTCCAGCACGGTCTGAGACGGTCTCGTGGCCTATCCTGTAGCCCTCTTGGGCGCCTGCTGGGCCGAAGACAAGCATACACCAGAGACAAAACATCGAAGAGGTGGATTTTGCAAGGACTCTCGCATGTCATCCAAGCCTGCCCTCTCCATAGTTCTTTCATTATTTTGCTGTCTCTCCGTTGCATGCTTCTTATATTCATATCGTCTCGTTCCACGGGGCACGCCCTCACACTTCGCTCTATACTCCATTGTCCCAGGCCCACTCTCAACTATATGTGCATACGCACATTTGCATGCGTAGGCATACATATTCAGTGTGTGTGTGTGTTTGTGGATGTGTGTGTGTGTGTGTCTCTGTCTCTCTCTTCCCCCCTTCTCTCTATGTCTCTGTCGGTGTATACCCAACTTCGCCCTATGCTCTCTGATATGATACGCTCGATAATTGATCTTGACTAAGTTCTCTAACCTCTATTACTGGTCCTTTTCTTAACAGTGAATTCTGTTTTCTCATATGTTCACCCACGCTCTACTATACACAAGAGGCACGCGTGCCAAGGATCATACAATCACGGATGTGGGACACTGGGAGATGGAAGTGGCGTCAACCATGGTCATTTCGGGGAAGCGCGCGAGTGCTGCGACACGCTGAGCTATGGCGTGAAGAACTCGCTATGTCACTGTGAGCTAGTGGCGTTTGTATGACTATTCGGGGTCATGGCGCTATTGGGCGTCTCTGGGGCTTATTTGGTATTGTGTGGGTCTGTCTGGGGCTCTTTTGGGCTGTCTTCGGGCAATCTTGAGCTGTCCTGCGGCCTTTTTGGCCCATCGTGGTGACTCGTGCGGGGGGCAAATACACGGCTGGAGCGGGGGGGGGCACGGTCGGTCGGTCGGAATAAGCAGGCAAGGGGGGGGCCACGGGGCGGAAGGGGCGGGACAGGAGGGCGGCCGGGGAGAGGGAGGGGAGGGGTGGCACGGTCGGTCGGCGGGGGCCACGGGGCGGAGGGAGGGGGAGCACGGTCGGACGGTCGGTCGGAGTAAGCAGACAGTTGCCACGGGGCGGAGGAGAGGGGCACGGTCGGTCGATCGGTCGGAGTAAGCAGACGGGGGCCACGGGGCGGAGGGGGGCGGGGGGGGGAACAGGGGGACGGGGCACTTCGGCAGGGGGTGTCACGTTCGGTCGTCGTCTGGAATTAAGGGCGGACGGGGGTCACGGTGCGGAAAGGGGGGGGGGGGGGCACGGTCGGTCGGCTGGTCGGAAGAAGCAGACGGGGGCCACGGAGCGGAGGGGGGGGCACGGTCAGGTCGTTCGTCGGCATTAACGCGCGAGAAGCCACGGGGCGGAGGGGCGCTGGGGGCAGGGGAGGGGAAGCACGGTCGGGCAGGGTGGCGATTCGGGTCGGTCGTCGAGTAAGGCTGAACGGGAGCATGGGGGCGGGAAGAAAAAAGAAGAAAAAAAATAAAAAAAATGGGGCGGTACGAAATAACAAAAACAAGGCGGAGAAAAGAGAAAAAAACAACAAAAGCGGAAAGGAAAACACCAAAAAAAAAAAAAAGAAAGGTGGGGGCACGGTCGGTCGGTCGGAATAAGCAGACGGGGGCCATGGGGCGGAGGGGGGGAGGGGCACGGTCGGTCGTCAGTCGGTCGGAGTAAGCAGACGGGGGCCACGGGGCGGAGGAGAGGGGCACGGTCGGTCGATCGGTCGGAGTAAGCAGACGGGGGCCACGGGGCGGAGGGGGGCGGGGGGGGAACAAGGGGGACGGGAGGGCACGGTCGGGCAAGGGGGGGCACGGTCGGTCGGTCGGAGTAAGCAGACGGGCCACGGGGCGGAGGGGTGCGGGGGGGCAGGCGCAGCACACGGGGGCGCCACGCTCCCGGGACACACCATAGCACGTATCCCGGCACACGAAGCCAACACACATCCCAGCATGTATCCCAGCACACGGAGGCAGCACACATCCCAGCACGTATCCCAGCACACGGAGGCAGCACACAGCCCTGCACACATCCCAGCGCACGCAGGCAGCACACGTCCCAACACACATCCCAGTCCAGCGCACATCCCAGGCACGGTCGGTCGGTCGGTCGAAATGATGCAGTGCGAGATCACACTGGTAGGTATGGTAGTACTCTCAATCTGACCCTGCTCGCAACCGCCCGGGAAAACTCCAGCACCTGGAAACCCACCGTGCCATGAACTGCGGACGCGGGACCCGAAACCTGGGAGACGGGTTGCCCACCGAAATCGGGCCGGAAGCCAAAACCGCGAACCATGGAACCTGGCTGCCCAACGAAATCGACCCCGTCACTGCCGCATTCTCTTTCAGTCTCCAACAAGAAGAGCTTGTGGGCGCGGTCGTGGACGGTTGGGAGTCGCACCGGCTGAACGACCGGAGGACTCTCACCTTCCCGCAGCAGCGCGAGCTCACCGAACCGCTTGTCAGAGCACCGCCTATCAGGACGGCAGCCGGGACGCCCTCTGGGGCGCGTCCCCCGCCGGCTCGGCATCTGCTTTCCCTGCCAGGGCCACAGCGGAGGCGGAGGGTAGCACCTCTGCCCTGGCGCGGGCACCCGCTGGGGCCGACCAGGCTTCGGCGCCAGAGCCACCGGTGCCCCTCTGTTGCCCGACTCCCGTCGGTAGGGGCGCCACGCCGAGCCCCGCCAGGGCGGCATGCACTGGCACCTCCCCGGAGGAGCTCTGCACCATGCCCCAGCATGTTTGGCCCGAGCCCGGCTCCGAGCACGCCCCGCCCCTGCCGCCGCCTCCTCCCCTGCCTGCTGCTCCGCGCCCTCCGCAGGCTCCGAGGCCCTTCTGGTCTCGCGAGCGGCCGCTGCCCGGCGCCCAAACCGAAGGGGCCCCAACCCAGGCTGCCGCCTCCTCCTCCACCGATGGGCGCCACGGCCGTCGCCCTGCATCCCTGGTGGATGCCTCCCTGGTGGACTGCGACGCGCGCGCGGCTGGCTCCCGCTGGAGGCAGTCGCTTCCCAAAGCCCCCGCTGACCTGCGCTTCTACGCGCGCGGCCGCCCGCGCGACGCTGCCCGCCCCTTGCCCAGTGCGGCCCTGGCTGCGCCACCGCCCTCGCAGTCGCCCGCACCCCAGCGCCGTGGATCCTCCAGCGCGGGTCATCGGCTCCAAACCTCATCCTGCCCCCAAGGTCTGGGCACGGCCCGTCGACCTCTACGCTGTGCCCGATGGGGCTCCTCCGCCTAAGCAGCGGGCACTCGCTGGGCCCACGGGCATTCCGCCGCCGGCCGCTGGCCGCCTCGGCCAGGTTCTTTCGGATGAGCCTCGTCGGCCGCGTCCTCGCCTTGCTCGCTGAGGATACCCCCTCCGCTCCACAGGCGGTCTGGCCGCCTCGGCCAGGTTCTT